TGTTTTTTTTTTTTTTTTTTTTTTTGTCTTTTGTCCTTTTTTCCGTGTCCGGCAACGGATCGCAACCCTCAGTGTTGCCCCCGTACCGGACCGGGACCGGCAACGGGATCGCAAGCCTCGGCGTTGCTCCCGCGCCTCGCTCAGCCAGTGAGCGGGAACCGGTCTGCATATGGGATCCGAACCCTCGGACGGGAGCGCCACCGCGCTTCCCAAGCGGCGCACTATCCAGTGCGCCACTGGGCCGGCCCTCAACAGCCAGTTTTTACCAGTCAATTATTTAAAATTAGCACAGGGAAGTTTTGCTGGTAAGCTGCAAATAATGATGATGATAATAATAATTCTAACAACAATAGCAGATAAAATATACTGTTCATGTGCTACATGTCACATACTGTGCTAACGCTCCATATGCATTGATTTGCAAACACCTCCATTGTGGTCATACTATTATTACCTCCATTTTAAAGATAAGGAAATTGAGGCACAGTTACAATGCTGGAGACAGAGCCAGGATTTGGTCCTGGGCTGGTGGTTGTACCCTTTCTTAAACAACAGTCAATGTCAACAAAAGTAACTCTTTTTTTTTCCTAAACTTAAGAATTTTCTGTCAGAATAAAATGTGGTGCTGGTTTACTACCAAGTCACTAACTAGAAAGTGACAAGTGACAAGTGATAACCTACTTTCTGCTCTGGTTTTTAGTGGACTCATTCAAACAGTTTCTCCACACTTCATCATTGTGCCAAAATTTTGACAGAGAAACATCAGGCATCAGAAAGCAGTGGGATCTGTCTAGGGCAGGGGTTGGCAAACTTGTTCTGTAAAGGGCCAGAGGGTAAATATTTTAGGCTTTGCAAGCCACATGGTCTCTGTTGTGACTACTCAGTTCCACTGCTGCACTACAGAAACAGCCAGAGAAAATGTGTGAATGAATGGGCATAGCTGTGTTCCAATTAAGACTTTATTTACAAAAACAAGTGGTGGGCTGGATTTGGCCCACAGCCGCAGTGTGCCATCCCCTGGTCTAGAGTCAAACGGCAGGAGACTGCCCCACATTTCTCCAAAACCTACTGGCCAGGTAGCCGTGTCCTCCACACGCCTCCCGGCACTCCTGGATTCCTTGCTGGGCGGTCCACGAGGCCAGGGGCTTGCCAGCCGATGCCAGGGCATGGATTTCACGTCCGAGCTCTGCCTTTGGGTGAAGGAATCCGACAAGAACAGGTGAAAAGAGAATTCCCACACGAAAGGTCAGGGGCCAGGTTCAGCACCAGCATCTAAGGACTATGGCCCCTCCAGTCTAATCCAAGATACCCAACGATTACAGAATAAGAAAACGCAGTTCTAATTTTTTTTTTACAAAAAGGGACATATCCAAGGGGATACTCTGTGGTACCCTCAGACAATTTAACAGCAATGAAAACAAATGGGCCACAGCTCTATAGAGTAAATCAATCTCAGGCAGCCAGCATGGATCACAGAAACAGCCATCAAAGAATATGCACCGTGACTCGCTCTGCAGGAAGTTCACAATGTGGAAGTGAACGATATGCTGCTGAAGGTTGCAGTCATTTGTGGCGATACTACAAAGCAAGGCAAGGGAATGAGAATCAGTACTGGAGACGGTGCTTCCCTCTAACGAGAGAGGGAGGGCTGGGATCAGCCAGTTCACAGAAGTTGTGAGAGGCGACAGTCCTCTGCCTGGGTGCTCACCTCACCTTCCCTTGAGCCTTACACACGTTTTATAACTATTCTTTCGCTCCTACTTGATATCTAATAAAAACAATTAGAAGAAAGAGACACACACACTTGCTAAACACAAGGACCCATTTTACCGTGTTTTTAACTTCAAATAAGGGGCTGCATTTTGGTCCTACTGTGCTTGGGTAGAACTGCTGAGTTTCAGAAGAACAAAGCATGATTGCGCCTTGCATCGTTATTAGCAGGAGAACAGTGCAGACGCCAGCTGGCAGAGGCTACAGAGACTCAGGCCCAGGGAAAGACACGCTTAACCCTTCATCTCTCAGAAACGCTCCCTCAGTGGACCTCGTTAGACCTCTGTCGTAGCCTGTAATGGATCCTGTCAGTCATTCCTACGTCATCCGGGCCTCTGGACTCCTGAATGTTTATGAGAATATCCCAAACCAGGCTAATTTGACATGCGCTTTTTAGGATGTTGTACATAACCCCAATCTGTCTAATCTGTTTTCTTTTTTTTTTTTTTTTTAAAAGATGACCAGTAAGGGGATCTTAACCCTTGACTTGGTGTTGTCAGCACCACGCTCAGCCAATGAGCGAACCGGCCATCCCTATATGGGATCCGAACCTGTGGCCTTGGCGTTATCAGCACCGCACTCTCCCGAGTGAGCCACGGGCCGGCCCCTGTTTTCTTTTGATTCACGTTTTACTCCCACTCAGGGGGCAGCACGAGGGGGTTATGGAAAATCAACCCATAAACCATCTACAAAGAAATTAGAAACAGACTTTGGTCTGTGGAGTGGTGGATCTCAGAGGACTTGCACGCTCATTTCTGGCACAAAGCCTTGACTGTCAACTCAAATCCCGTCAGCGGGACTCAGACCTTTGTACAGTTGTTTATGAAAGAATCAGAACCATGAAATCTACTGATGGGCTGGTAATGTGGATTTTGCAAAACCGTCCTGTTCTCAGAGGGAGAACAACGGCTGGGCTCACAGACTGGAATTAGGAGTCATGTCAGCACATCCTTGAGAAACGGGAACATGGCCACATGCCCAAACCCTTCTGATCACTGTGCGAGTCAAGAGCGCCAGGGGTGGGGAGAGCCCAAGGGATGGGTGAAATTTAAACAAAATGCTGTGGGACAAAGTGAATGACATCTCACCTGTCTGGCACCATGGCCTCCCCCAAGAAGGCCCTGCTGAAGCTCCACCAGGTCCAGGAAGAGTGTTTTGGAGAAGTGGTCTAAGGCGTAGGCAGCCGCCAGATAAGGAAGCAAGCGCCACTGCTGGAATGAACAAGACACCTGCGTGAACACATCCCTGCGGTGACATGAGAGTGAGGAGGAGGAGGAATGGTGTCCAGGCCATGCGTTCCATGCATGCTCAAGATCCTCCATGCATCTTCCGGCATGGTGGGAACCTTCACCCTGATGTGCTGTCCCATCATGACTTTCACCCGCTGCCCAGATGGACGAGCTCAGCGCAGCTCCCTGAACATCCTCCTCCACAGCTGTCCCATCCAAGCAGTCACAGGAACAGACTGCAAACAAAAACAATGACCTGATGGGCCGACTCTGCCCGGCTCACGACTGACTGGTAGACAGCACGCAGTTCCCGGGCCCATAAGGGACAGGCAAGCAGCCCTGAGCCAGATGGGGAAACTGAGGTGCACATAGAGCTAGGAGCTCCTCAGAGAGCAGGGAACGTGTCTTTTTCTCCTTTGCATACCCAGCAGCTGGCATGGGACAGGGCACATAGATTGTTGGACAGACGGGTGGGCTGTGGAGGGGATAAGCCTGAAAAGAACCTGGGGAACCATGCACCAACACGTCCAACATTACTGAGTGCTGAGTGTGAGACGCTGTGCCAGCTGCTTTCATGTACTGACCTATGCAGTCCCTACAACCCCCCTAGGAAGAAGTCCAATTTACAAACAAGAAAATCAGAGCACAGACAGGTTAAGAACATTCTCCAAGGGCACAGAGCCAGTCGGGGTGGACCTAGAGTTCTGAGCCTGAGCATTGTGGCTCCAGTGGGCTCTCTTAACCAAAGAGCTACCCTAGGCGCCCAGAGCAGAGAGATGCACTGTGACCACACAGAACACAGGAACGGTGGGGGACCTGGTGGGGAGGGTGCTTCACAGGTATAAACCAGGACACTTTCTCCCTATGTACTTACTTATTAAAACAGGTTCACAGCCATAGTAAAAGAAATGTTCAAAGGAACAACTGCGATTCTGTTACAACTTGCACAAACTTTTTTCACTCTAACGTGTCTTTGTTTATGTACAGCTTGGCCCCAAATCGGGGCCAGACTTAACACCTGAACAGCAACTGGAGTCTCCTATCTGATCCTCAGCTCCCCATCTGTGAACCAGGAATAATAATGCCAACCCACCTGTCTGCGAAGACCAAACACGTAGCATGGACAGAAGGGCTCGACCACACAAAAGCACTACAGGAACATCTGCTGTGATAACAATGTATCCCCTTTCTGTGCAGTAATGCTCATGCGTTTCTGTGTTGCTGTTGGGCTGCATCCTGGCCACATCCATGGCTGCCCAACTCTGAGAACAGCATCCCTCCTGCTGTCCTAAGTGCCATTACAATGAACAGGGCTGCACACTCAGCTGCTGCTTCTTAAAAATGATTTCCTTGGAATCATTTCTTAGCGATGGGATGAATGAGTCAGAGAACATACCTTGGACATGCAACACCACCACCTGCCAAAGCCTGGACCTGTACCTGTGGCAGGTGTACACACCTGCCTCTCCAGAGCCTCACCAGATTTGCTTCTGTCCATTTTCCTTAGTTTGGCTACTTCATATATACTCTTTTTAAATTAAAAACCTTTTTTTCTCTCTGCCTGAGATGCTGCACTCCTGCTAACTGTCCTGTTAATTGCCTTAAGAGCTTTGATCAACTCCCAGTAACCAAACTGCAACTATCTAAAAGAACTATATTTGCACTATAATAAAAAGGAAATGAAATAATACTTGAAAAACCTGTACCTGCATTTGATACTCAAGCACCGGTATCTCCTCCTTGTCAGTGGGTCCAAACTGGCGCCGAGTCGCTGAGAAACGCAGCGCTATGGATACGGCCAGTTTTAAGTTAACGATGGACATGCCAATGATGGAGACCCGCCCAATGGACAAGCTGCTCAGAGACGCTCCAAAGCGCTGCCTGGCATCCTAGGGAAGACAAGGAGAGGATGAGCACAGCCAGAGCACCAGGACTGCCTCAGAGGAAGGGGCATCAAGACGAAGGCACATGCCTTTACTCATTCAGTGTGGCCAGGTGCCACCTGCCCAGGCCCAGCCCCAGACACACAGACCTCCAGGTACAACACAGTGCGGCAGGGCTAAGCTGAAGGCAGGTACAGGTGTCATTAGTGAATCGTGGATGGGATCGGTGGGCACCCAGAGGAGGGGACACCCAACCATCCAAGGAAGGGGTGCTCCAAGCAAAGGGAATGGCAGGACATAGACAGCACCATGCAAGAGAGCACCCTCTTTGGGGACCTGCAAACTGGCCTCCTGGAGGTGCCCAGGCCCTGCCTGTAACCTTGGCACGAACCAGAAACTGCTTGTACCATCAGGTGGGGAAGTCTGAGGACTAAGATTTCATTTGCGGCTCCAACACTCTATTGATAAAATGCATTCCCTTTAAAATTCAACACTCATTCATGACAAAGACCCTCTATAAGTTAGGTATAGACGGAAAGTATCTCAACATAATTAAAGCCATTTATGATAAGCCCACTGCAAATATCATCCTGAATGGGGAAAAGCTGAAAGCTTTTCCATTAAGAACAGGAACCAGACAAGGATGCCCACTCTCACCACTCCTATTCAACATAGTGTTGGAAGTACTAGCCAGAGCAATCAGAGAAGAGAAAGAAATAAAGGGCATCCAGATTGGAAAAGATGAAGTCAAACTGTCCCTGTTTGCAGATGACATGATCCTATATATCGAACAGCCTAAAGCCTCTACAAAAAAACTCTTGGAGGTGATAAATGAGTTCAGCACAGTAGCAGGATACAAAATCAACACACAAAAATCAGTAGCATTTCTATTCTCCAATAGTGAACATGCAGAAAGAGAAATCAAGAAAGCCTGCCCATTTACAATAGCCACCAAAAAAATAAAATACTTAGGAATTGAGTTAACCAAGGATGTGAAAAATCTCTATAACGAGAACTACAAACCACTCCTGAGAGAAATTAGAGAGGATACAAGATTGGAAAGGATGAAGTCAAACTGTCCCTGTTTGCAGATGACATGATCCTATATATCCAACAGTCTAAAGCCTCTACAAAGAAAGTATTGGAGGTGATAAATGAGTTCAGCACAGTAGCAGGATACAAAATCAACACACAAAAATCAGTAGCATTTCTATTCTCCAATAGTGAACATGCAGAAAGAGAAATCAAGAAAGCCTGCCCATTTACAATAGCCACCAAAAAGATAAAATACTTAGGAATTGAGTTAACCAAGGAAGTGAAGAATCTCTATAATGAGAACTACAAACCACTCCTGAGAGAAATTAGAGAGGATACATGAAGATGGAAAAATATCCCATGCTCTTGGATTGGAAGAATCAACATAGTGAAAATGGCCATACTACCCAAAGTGATCTACAAATTCAATGCAATCCCCATCAAAATTCCAATGACATTTTTCCAAGAAATGGAAAGAACTATACAGACATTTGTATGGAATAATAAAAGACCACGCATAGCCAAAGCAACACTGAGCAAAAAAAATAAAGCTGGAGAAATAACATTACCTGACTTTAAATTATACTACAAAGCTATAATAACCAAAACAGCATGGTACTGGAATACGTAATAACTTCGTATAGCATACATTATACGAAGTTATACGAACTCTGATCTAAGGCACTAGAGAGACAGCATAGTCCCTCCTCTCAGTGATATTTCTAGTAGGGAATTTACAAAGATAATCTGGAAGCCAGTTGCTCTCATTTATTCTGGCTCAGGGTTTAGTAAAAGACAGATCTGGCTTCCTGCCTTGCTCCTGTTTTGCATTTCTTTTTTCCCCCAGTACTACTATTGTTGTAGAAAATAGTCTTGGGACCACCTATGAATACCCAGAAAATTCCTAAGGAAATCTTCGAAAATGTCCCACTTCTCCCAGCAAGTCGTACAGCCAGAGCATTAGCAATAAAAAGCAATAGTAAACCTATCTTCCTGATGTAAGTAATAATTCTTAATCTGGGCATTCTTTTTCTAATAGTTGACCTTCTAGGGTATTCAGCACCTTCCCAAATTGTGAGCTCTTGATATTTACCTCAGTATCACAGTATCGTGTTCCCTGTGTAAGCTAATATATTGTCTGCTTTGGGTTTTCAGGGAGCACAGCTGCTTCCGGTCAGCAGTAATAAAGTAATCCCTACACCCAATTATGTGACCAAACAATTAGCACCAGCCTGTGTACTCAATAAATTGTTGTTTGGTTGCTGGCTCTATTCAGAAGTTGAGAATGGTAATTACAGTAGCAGCATATTTCAGCTAGTGATACAACAGGCAAGATGAGTAAGGCATTTGTTTAGAGCAGCTGGTTCTTTGGATGGACAGAAACCCAGCTGGAGTAGTTCTGAGTGACTGAGCATTAGTACGGTTATGTAGTGTTCTGGCACACAGTCATCTCTGCTTTGGGAAGATTTCAGTGGGTCATTACCAGTTAAGAACTTGGAACAGGAAACTAGAATGTAAAGAAGATACTTTGAGTGAAGAAAGTGATTTTAAAAACAAATAAATATTCCGTTTATACCAATCATGTCTTAAGGTTACTTTGGCACACTCAGCTTTTCACAGTGTATAAGCAAAACTAATTGTAAGTTAGTTAGTAGTAAAATTTATGAAATTAAAATACATTTTATTTTACTCTGGCTATAAATAATAGACTGTATTGACTTTTATTTTTAATCAAGTAGGAGCAAAAACCAAGTTGGAATTTGTGCAATGTGTATTCTTAAATATGAAAAGAGAATTTGAAAAAAGAGCGTTGGCATACCCCAGTGGTACCTCTAACTCTGCTCTCAAGATAGCCTTTTGTGACACGGTATGCTGCCCAGAGGAGTGAGAAAGTGAAACAAGCAAGGCACAGAAAGAGCAATCCCACATGCTCCCACTTATAGGTGGGAGCTAAAAATAAATAAATAAATTCACACACACACACACACACACACACACAAAATCCGGGTTGGGGGGGAAGAAGACTTAACAACTACAACTCCTTGAAGTTGATACAACAAACAAACAGAAAGGACACTGTTGGGTGGGAGCAGGGGAGATGGAGGAGGGAGGGAGGTTTCGGTAATGGGCCACAATAATCAACCTCATTGTATATCGACAAAATAAAATAAAATAAAATGACATGCTCATGGAAAAAATATAATAATAATAAAAAAATAAAATAAAATACATTCCCTTTATCCTCATTCCCCTGTGAAATCCTGTCCCTATCAAAGGTGGCCATTCTCAGGGGTTTGCTAGACATCTTTCGTTCTCTGTGTTCCTTCGTGCGCATCTAGTTTTCACCTTCTGTTCTGTCCCTCACCGCAGGCACCACCATTTCCACAGCGGCTTGTCTCTACGGTCCGTCACTGATGCTGTGCGAACATCTAATCCACAAGTCTTACCCAACTGTCTGACCATCCTCACCTCCCATACCTCTAGCTGCTCCTCCCAGGTTCGTTTCTTTTATTATTCAAGACTTTCTTCCAAAACACTGGTATGTGCATAGCAGCCTTCCAAAACTGGGGATGCCTAGAACAGTCACCACGCCCGCACACAGGGATGACAGCTTTGTTGGATTTAATAATGTATGTTTGGGGCTGGCTGGTTAGCTCGGTTGTTTAGAGGTGATGCTGACAACACCAAGGTCCAGCCACCAAAAAGAAAAATATTAATTAAAAATACATGTTTCAAGTTATTTTTCCTCAGTGGTGTAAAATATTATTCACTGTGTTCTTGTGTTCAGTGCTGTGCTTGTGAAATCTGAAGTTAAAGTGATTTTTATGCCACTGGACTCAGATCTGGAAAATTTCATAATTTTCTCTTTGAAATTCTTAAATTTCTCTAGTGCGTCCGGGTATATGAGCTTTTCCTGATTTTCCCTCTCTGGTACTCCTGGGTCCCTCCAGTTGAAGGTCTTCCTCCTTTAACACAGAGACACTACTCTCCGTTGTTTTCTACACTGTCTCTTCCTCACTTTCTTTAGTACTTTTCTGCCTTCCGAGGGCCACGTCCAGTCTCTAGCTTGTCCTCCTGTGATGTTCACTCCCTCTGCGGTGTCCTTTCCTTCAGTTATTGCACTTGTACGTTAGTTAATTCCTTTTGCATGGACATGAACACGTTTTAAGTGCCTTCTTGTTTCACGTTGCTCATTTCTCCCCTTTCCTCCTTACATGTATTTGTGGCACTCATTTTAAGTACCTGCTCTCTGCTGCAGTCAGGTGACCTACGTTGTCTGGGGAGCATTCTTCCCAAGGGCACATCCTTGGACACAACCATCCTGGCTGTAAGTTCATGACTGTTGAGTTCACCTAGGCCATCTCTGCCAGGGCCACACCATCATCTCCCCAATACCCTCTGTGAATTGAAGGGGGAGTGAGTCCTGGACACCAGAGAACCCTGTTTGTCATTCCCATTTGTGGACAGTTCACCAGGTGACCCCTCCCTTTCAAGCCCTTAGGGAAACAGCACCAAAAGGGGGCAGTATCCTCACTGGAACCCTGAGGGCAGGTGGTTGCCCATGGGCAGCTAGCCAGCTGCATCAGTTCTCAGGCCCAGCCCCTGGACAACAGCACCGAGGATGTGGCTGACCCAAGAGTCCCCTTCCTAGTCGGGGGCATTGGAACCCGACCCAAGAGAGAGGGGTGCCACAGCCAAGCCCGCTCGTGTGGCAAGGAAGGTGTCTAGGATGCCCTGCACACAAACATCCCTGCCAGAAATGCCATACCTTAAAAGGGGTGACGTAGGTGCCCTCGGGGGTGACATCTCCAGTTCGGTTCAGGAGGTTCTGGCGAGGAATTCGAACCTTGTGGAACATGGCGAATCTGAGCAGGAGAAGTGCAGGGCTTCCGTTAAACAGAGATTTCTGCCCTGGGCTTTTCTCCCCTCCCCCCAGGGCAGCTTAAAAGGTGACATAATCCCCAAAGACAAAGAAAATAGCAGCGAGCACACAACTGGACATGGAAGTTTGACAAATTTTTTCCATCCAAAAAATAGGTTAGAAATAAAAGAGGTGCATGTGTGGTGGGTCATATGTGACATGAGGTTGGCCATATGTGGACGATTATTGAAGTCAAGTTCCCCATTTCCACTGGCCACAACGTGCACTCCTTAAGGACATGCTGGGGAGAATGGCCTTGGCAGGGCTGAGTGTTCACTGTCGTGTCAACAGAAAAGACGGGAGCTGTGTTGCTAAGGACTGGAATCTCTGACTCCCATACCTCCATCTCAAACCACAATCTACAACATGATGTGGTAAAAGCAGAAAACTAAGGTTTTCAAACATTCAAGTCAGACAAGAAACCTGAGTTATGATATAGTGCTCCAAAGGTCAGCAAATTCGTCTCTTTTGAACAGCAGAGAATAGGATTATATACACATCATTATGGATCATTACGTATTAATAATCAAAGATATTTTTTATGGTTGTCAAGTCAGGATACCTTACTTCACAACAGTCTAGTGAGCAAGGTTATACAAAGTTACAAATGTTACATAAACTGTGCAAAAATAAAAACCCTTAAAAATATCAATATATCTGGGCCGGCCCGTGGCTCACTTGGGAGAGTGCGGTGCTGATAACACCAAGGCCACGGGTTCGGATCCCATATAGGGATGGCGGGTTCGCTCACTGGGAGAGCGTGGTGCTGACAACACCAAGTCAAGGGTTAAGATCCCCTTACCGGTCATCTTTAAAAAAAAAATAATAATAATAAATAAATAAAATAAAAATAAAAATATCAATATATCAATAGTTCCTATAGTAACTTATCTGATTACTAAGATCACTTGCAATGCCACAGAGAAGATTCTTTTACCAAACCACGGAGGCATCATTTGTTAAGAACAGCCACATGAGCTGGCGAAAGAGGAACCCCTGCCAGAAAAGGGAAGGGGCTCTGCCTCCACTGCATCTGCTCTTCCTTTAATCCCAGCTTGTGGATGGCACCCCCGGTCACCCATCCTGAGTCACCTCTGCCCTGTGCTGCATCTTGACTCAGTCTCCCCCTCCCCTTCCCCACCCAGCCCTCATCTATTTTCATCTGATTTACATCAACGATTACCTTACTGACTGCTTCCAGACTCCACCTCTTCGGCTCGCCCTCCACACGGGAGCAGAGGTCTTCCCAAACTGCCATGGGAATGGCCATGCCCTGCCTGAGACTGTTCAACCCTCACAACTATGGAATCTAAACCCTGCAGGAAAACACGAGTGTCCCCCTCCTGTCCTCCGCCCACTCCTCCAACAGCTGCTCCCCTGCAGCCTGCAGCTGGGTCCCCTCTGCTTCTGATGCTATAAACTGGCCAGGCTCTGTCCTGGCCTCCACCACCCTGCATCTTCACTATTAACACCCAGGCGGTCCTCGGAGTGCTGCTCAGCTGCCACCTCCTCTGGGAGGCCCCTCACAATTCTCCACCCCACCCTGAATGGGTACAAGGTGGACCCACCCCAAGGCACTGCTAGAGAGTGATCCTGTTCTGTGGCAACAACTCAACTGTCAGTGTCCCTCAATGAGCCAGCTCCTTGTCAGGAGTTTCCTGGGGCTTATTCACCTTTTTATAATGGGGCCGCAGTGCCTGGAACCTGCTAGACGCTCTAAGTGGTGTGGAATGAATAAAGAGAGAGGGGTGCTGGTGCGATCCACAAAACCCCAAGTGCCAGGGACAGCCTTGAGGGAGGGTCAGAGCAGCACCTTCCCGCACCCCCAGGGAATGGCAAAGACCCTGGGCTGCGTGGAGGGCAGGATTGGAGGAGGCCCCTTCCCAGATTCCTCCAGAATGTCCAGGAGGTCTGGCAAGTGAGGAATTCTAGGCCAGGCCCCCATGGCATCCAGGCAAGGGGCCAACCTCGGTGGGTCACCCCCTCTCATCAGCTGCAGATGAGTTCCTCAGTAGTGCCCTAAACACGGAGTGTTCAGAGCCTGGCTGACCAGAATACGCTGCCTCCTGGGCATCTGTGCAGGCTGCACGTTTGCCACCGAGGGGGCGGCTTTGTCCACGCAGGCTACACGTGCAGCATATCCACTTTTTAAGAAAACCTGGCCTTGGTACCAATGCCCCTGTGTACCCCAGCTTGTTACTTGAAAGCCAAGGAATACTTTTCCAAGTATAATTCTGTAAACAGAAAGTGCCGTTTTTAAGGGGTGGAAAATCTTCACCCCTTCTTGTCAAACAGAAATGGAACAAATACAAATACATGTATACTTGCAAAAGTATTCACTTGAGGGCCGGCCCGTGGCTCACTCGGGAGAGTGCGGTGCTGATAACACCAAGGCCCCGGGTTCGGATCGGTCATTTTTTTTTTTAAAAAAAAAGATGACCGGTAAGGGGATCTTAACCCTTGACTTGGTGTTGTCAGCACCACGCTCAGCCAGTGAGGGTCATTTTTTTTTTTAAAAAAAAAGATGACCGGTAAGGGGATCTTAACCCTTGACTTGGTGTTGTCAGCACCACGCTCAGCCAGTGAGGGTCATTTTTTTTTTTAAAAAAAAAGATGACCGGTAAGGGGATCTTAACCCTTGACTTGGTGTTGTCAGCACCACGCTCAGCCAGTGAGGGTCATTTTTTTTTTTAAAAAAAAAGATGACCGGTAAGGGGATCTTAACCCTTGACTTGGTGTTGTCAGCACCACGCTCAGCCAGTGAGGGTCATTTTTTTTTTTAAAAAAAAAAAAAGTATTCACTTGAGTTTAACTGAAAACAGAATTTCAAATAGTCTCTTTTGATCACTTCTGTACCACAAAAGCTATTCCAGAAACAGTAAGATGGTGGCCAGCCTGAAAGCCACAATTCATGTCCAGTGGGCAAGGGGCGTATGTGCACAGCACAAGGCATGTCTGTGTCTGGCGTGGGGTGTGTGTCATGGGGCATGTGTGGCATAGAAGGCGTGTGTGGCATGGAAGGTGCATGTGTGTGGCATGGGATGCGTGTCGCGGGGCGTGTGTGGCATGGGACAAGTGTGTGGTGTACAGGGTGTGGAAGGTGTGGGGGGCGGGCTGTGCAGCACAGAAGGTTCTACTGCTGCAGCTTGCAGGCGCTGGGCCCTGCTCCCAGGCTCTGCGCCTCCTACTCCAAGTCCCAGCCATTCCCTTCCTCCATGGCCACCAGCAACCCAGCCCCACCTGGAGCAGACCACCTCACCTTGTGGGACTTCCAGCCACTTCCAGCCGGACCCCCAAGGCCCAGAGGCTGTGTCTCCCTCTGAGCCAGTGCATGAAAAAGTACCTATGGCCCACCTAAGGGTCTGGCTGAAAATATAGCTTGAAAAGATCTTTATTATTTAGCTTTCAGAACTATTTGGCTAAAATCAATCCACACAATTTATGTTTGCCTCCAAGTTGTAGTCAGTAACCCACATAACTTGGAAATTTTTGTGAGGTGACAAAATCTATTCTACGAAATGTTACCACTTTTTCGAAATAAATGATCTCAAAATTAGGAGAAAAAAACAAAACACTAAATGATAATACTGACATTTGAATGAGATGGAGGACTCAGACAGGATCTGAGCAGAGAAGCCCTGTTGGGCCGGGGCACGGTCCTCGCACCATCAGAGCCCAGAACCACGGCGCCCTCTGCTGGGCATGCCTCCTCACCCGTGCCCAGAGCCCTCTTTCTCCAACAGACCAAACCATGTCACTTGCTTGAGTAGGTTCTGCAGGGCTTCGCTGCTGCCCTGGGGACAAGAGGTCAGAACAGTGAACCTCCACACATGTCACACAGGCACTGTCCACATCAGGGCCTCCCACACACCCCGAGAAAGCACTGATGCAAGGGAGTTTACAGCCCGAGGGGCGGCCCTCTCCTCCCTGCCAGCTCCAGTACTGACTAGAGGGTTCCCTGTGTAAGTCAGTGAGTGAGATGTTCAGAATTCTGCATAGTCAGTGAACAGCACTGATGGTCTGGTGAGACCAGACATGAGCAGCAACACAGCCTGGAACCTGGTAGAAGTCTCAGTGCAGAGCAGTTCCAAGTGAGGACCCCACAGAGGAGGGCACTGCCGCCGTCAAGCTCAACACAAGCACTCACCCATTATCCAAGCCGTTCTGCCCAAGCTTCTTCCCTATGTCACCAACCATCACCCCTGGCATGGCAAGAAGGGTCTTTGGGTCCCGAATCTGTACAGCGCCACAGAAAGCAAAAAATGCCAACTGTAATGACTGCAGGAAAATCAGTGTGTTCAAAAGCCTCAGTGGCTGAGCCATGGGCTCACTGTGGGTAGCTGTGGGTTAAATTCTGTCCAGAAATGATATGTCCAAGTCCTAACCCCAGGATCTAGGAACATGACCTTATATGGAAATAGAATCTTTGCAAATGCAATTTATTTAAGGATCTTCAGATGAGATTATCCTGGATTACCCAAGTGGGCCCCAAATCCAATGACAGTGTCCTGTAAGAAGAGAAGAGAGGACATGGGCAAGAAGAGGAACCATGTGAAGACAGAGGCAAAGACTGGAGTGCTGTGGCCACAAAACACGGAAGGCCTGGGGCCACCAGCAGCCTTCAGAGGGAGTGCAGCCCCGCAGATGGCTTGACTTCAGACCTCCAGCCTTCAGAACTGAGAGAGAGTACTTTTCAGTCGTTTTAAGCCCCCAGCTCATGGTGCTTTGTTATGGCAGCCACAGGATGCAAATCCAGGAGCCAACTAGTACCTGCTGCCTAGGGGATATTGGGAATTCATATTCACATTTTATATATAGGACTTTCTGCTGGATTTTAATAAAATGACAAAGTGGCTGTGCACACATGTACTGTGGAAGAAACAGCCACTATTATTTTGGTAAATCTCTACTCCCCAAAATGAGTTTCCAATAAATATATTTGTCTAAAAAAATACCCACAGATATATACAATCAACTACGTTCCAATTAAAAAAAAAAATACAGACCTAGCTATCTGACAGTCCCTTGCTATGGGAGCTCTATGGAAAGAGCATGGAGTTTCATTCCTGTTTATCTTCAAAGCAGAGATTCCCAACCAAGGGGAAGGATCCACCACTTTGGGCAATGTCTGGAAATATTTTAGGTTGTCGTAACTAAGGGGCATGACTGGCATCCACTGAATGGAGGCCAGGGAAGCTGCTAAACATGCCGGAGTGCACAGAACAGCCCATAGCAGAGAATTATCCAGCCCAAAATGTCAACAGTGCTGAGGTGGAGAAGCACTCCTTTAAAGAAATACTGAATTTATACTACATGGAATTTAGCTATTTGTATAAATTTGTAACTTTTGTTTATTTCCATAAAACAACAATCTAACTTAAATGAACTTCAAAATAAAGATATTTAAAAATTTTTAAAGGGGCTAAAACCCAAATATAAAGCATCTTTTCCTTTTTCTAAAGATTCAGACACAAAATTTTAAAAACCTTTTGAAATAAATACCATAAATAGGTTTTTAAAAAGTAGAGATGAAGGAGAGACACACATACAAAAAAAGCTAGTAATTTTCAAGTATTCAAACATAAAAATACTGCTAATACAAGTTTTCGGTTCATCTAGAAATAAATGATAATGCAGTAATTATAAATATCATTATGCCTCTTGAATTAAAAAAAGAATCCTAAAGTCAAAAGCAGAAATAGTTACTGTTATGCTTACCTCAAAAATACTTAATTTTGCCAATTTAGACATAACATTGCCCACGATATTTAGATTGATGATCTGACATGACACAACAAGCCTGCAAAAGATTACAGCTCCCTCCGGATTATCGGCTAGGGATCCGGAGCGTGTGTCCCAAGTCTAAACACTCTTGCGATTCCCTGTCTCTATCTCTCTTTCTCCAGTAGACTGTCCCTTCCAGGAGGGCAGGACTCATGGTGTCTTGAGTGCTGTGCCTAGTCCACACCAGGCACACAGTAGTGCTTTGTCAAATGGAGGGACAACAGAATCCTATTGACTATTTTCAGCCTCAGTCATAAGAGTCTAAAACATCGCAGCTCTGTGGTCTAGAGCTCAGACACACTAAAAGAAGCTGAATTCTAATCCAGGCAATTTCCTTAAGAAGTTCACCCCAGGTACAAATCTATACACACAGAAACAAGTGTTGACAAGGATGTGGAGAAATTGGACCCTCGGACATTGCTAGTGGGAATGTAAGACGGTGCAGCCGCTGTGGAAAACACTGGGCGGCCCCTCAAAAGGTTAAACACAGAACTACCATATGGTCCCGCAATTCCACTCCTGGGTACATAGCCAAAAGGACTGAAAATAGGTACTCAAAAAGATACCTGTTCACGAATGTTCACAGCAGCACTACCCACACCAGCCAAAAGGTGAAAACAATCCAAATGTCCATCAGTGGACCGATGGATAAACAAATTGTGATCTATCCATCCAGTGTAGTAACACTAAGTCATAAAAAGGAATGAAGTACTGATTCATGCTACAGCATGGATGAACTGTGAAATCATTACTCTAAATGACAGACACTGGACACCACAGGTCACATATTGCCTGATTCCTTTTATATGAAAAGTCCAGAAAAACCAAATCCACAGAAACAAAAAGTAGATTAGTGGCTGCCAGGGGCTGTGGGAGCAGGAACAGGGAGTGACTGCTGTGTGGGAGCAGGGTGTCTTTCTAGAGAGCTGAAAGCATCTGGAACTAGACAGAGGTGGTGGTTTCTCTACATTTTGAATGCACTAAAGGCCACTGAGCTGCTCACTTCTAAGTGGCTCACAGCACAATGATGTAAGTTTCAGCTCAATTAGAGAAAAGGCCACAGTGGTTTCTTCTCACATGAGAGCCCTTCCCCGCCCTGCCCCCCCAACACCAGAAAAGTCTTACAGAATAAAAATGTCAGATTGAAGTGGCAGAGGAGCTTAACTCAGTATCAAGTCAGCCAAGACAGGAAGGTCCTGGACAAGTTTCTGGAAGCTCTGGGTTCAAGACACAGCAGTCCCACAGCGGGGCAAGAGGCCCGAGCCGAGTCCTGGCCCAGCCTCCCCATCGGCCGCAGCCTCCCATTTGTGGGGCCTACATCAGGGGTCCTCAAGCCAGGCTTCACATCAGAACTCCTGAAGCCCTCCTCAGACCTCCTGAATAGGAACCTTGGGAGGGTGGAGCCAGGAAGTCCAGGTTTGTGACAAGTGTCTGAGGCGACGCAGACACAGCCACTGGGAGGACAGGGAGATTCTCAACCAGGTGTCTTGGAAGGCCTGCCAGCTCGTGAAGCCACAGGGCTGGTCAGGCTCTGTCAACTGTGGCACTGTGACACTGTGTGCTGGATAATTCTTTCTTGGGGAGGGGCTGTCCTGCACAGTGCAGGACGTTGAGCAGTACCCCTGGTCTCCACCCACTAGATGCTGGGAGCATCCCCCCACCCCTAGATGTGACAAAAGTGGTTCCAGACATCGCCAAATGCCCCCTGGGGTAAAAACTGCCCTCACTGGGCACACGCTCCAGCCGACCGCACATGGGCACCCTACCTGCACGACAAAGGAGTGCAGCCCGTGACGCTGGCCCCCGGGCGTGTGCAGCTGAGCAAACACCACAGCGTGGGTAGCTGTCTTGCCCATGTTGCCAACCCAGAATTTGGCAGCTTCGAAATCGGGGGAGTGTATGATGAATTCCTGCACAAGTAAAAAAGAAGTTAAAGTTACAATCAGCAACTGAAACACACGTAGAATTGCTTTTCCTTTTCAATAGATTCAATTTTCTATGTTCAAAATCTTTCAGGCCAGGGTCAAAATTGACTGAACATTCTATTTCCCATATGGCACAGGCAGACCTTATTTTTTAAACACAGCATATTCCCGGGTCTTACGACTTAAAGAACCTTCCTACAGAAAATGATGACCAACATTTCAAACAATAAAACATACTCAAAACATTCGGTAGGCTGGCAAACGCCCCAGATAGTATTCACCCTCACATCGCCTCAGAGAGGCCGTCCCTGTCCACACGCTTTCACTGGAATCCACCACATCCCTGACTGACTTCAAATTAACGATAGACCAGTTTTCTTGTGCTCTGTCTCACCCGCTTACAAGCTCCATGAATGAGGGCTGTACCCCAAATGCCTGGAGCAAAAGGTGGACACTCGGAGCGTTGGAGTGCATGAATGAATGAGCAAATGGACACGTCCCCAAGGAACACAGCGGGTGCTCAGTGAGGCAGGAGAGAGAAGACGGGGGACAGGAGAATGGTGCGGAGTTGGGGCTCTTGTGCCCACCTTAGGGATGTCCACCAGAGCCTATGAGTAAGGTGGGGGGGTGAAAGGATGTGGACACTCAAGGTTGATTGAACTGCTTGTGGAAGCGGGTCGGCAGCTGCACAAGATGAGCGTCTGCGGGTGGAGAGACAGCAAGCTGCTATGCAGAGCTCTAGGCCACCTCAGTGTGTGCTGACTGTCAGGCCTCCATACTCAGCTGTCCGGGGGCTGCAGCAGATAAGTTCTGATCTGGTTTGCATCTTCCTGCAGGGTGAGAGGCTGCAAAACCATGTACCCGGGGAGAATTTCCTTCTATAACCCAGCAGCAACTGTGATTATATAAACTGCATATGCACTGAACAACTATCTCACAGATGATGACACTTCACTGAAGAAAAGGTGGGGGTGGAGGGAGCATGGGTGGCCAGTGTGCCTTCTGTTCTCTTCTCTGAGGGGCCACTGGTTCTTCACCCATCCAGCGAGAGTGGGGGCTGTCCAGCCTCAGCTAGGCCTCCCCTGCCCACTCTTCAGAGCGTAGTCAGCAGCTCTGATCCCTCCACTGCTCCCTGTCCCCTGCAGATGCAGGTGTGTGGGCTCGGAGCACCACCCCCAGCTCACTCCCTCAGGCCTTGCACTGCCACGAAATCCATGCGCATCTTCAGAGAGGCCACTCCAGCTTCAGTGGTCTCAGCCTGTCACCTCGGCAGCTGCCCTCCCTGTGCCCCATCACTATATCCTCACCCCAGAGGGCTTCCGGACACTCAGCACACCACACAGTTCCTTGTTCCTGTCTGTGTCTCCCCTAGCACACAACTTCCACAATGGCAGAGCCTCATCGGCTGTGCTCACCGCTGTCTGCCCAGCCTCTGGAGGCTGTGCCTGGCATACAGTAGGTGCTCACTGGATGCACCAGTCAGGGGCCAATGGTGCAGGTGCCACAGAGAAGTCAAGAAATGGTGAGGACCAGAGGAGAGCATGGTGGGCAGGAACAGAGAGGACAACCCGCCCCTGAGAGCCTGGCACTGGTAGGGCAGGCAAGGGGCAGCCAGAGAGGGAGGGCACTGCCTCACGCGGCTCACTTTTATAAAGCACAAGCAATTGCAACCATCTACCGATCCAACACCAACAGCTGCCCAAGAAACAAAGCAACAAAGTCTACAAAATGATGGCTTCCTCACCACATTCAAATGACATGCAAATCCACACCACTTTTACCCTAGATGACTCTCAGCATGTATTTTATAACCACACATGTATAAGGATGGGTGTTTTGATTTAACTACTTTTTTATTCAGGACAATTTCATATGCTCTGAACCCAGAGACCAATGGGAAGATGAAACCTACCTCGGTAGTGGGATCGTAGTGAGCGGTCGTTCGAATGGCCTTGGCATTACTCCCATGACTTACTTCGGTCAGAGCAAAACATCCAAAAATCTAAATGTTGAAGCACACTCGATGTAAGGCAAGAAGAATTCCTTGTGCACATTCCTGGAGGGTCCCACTACCATCTTTCTTTTAAGGACTAAATCACAGATTGAGGCCCCTAAATCTCAATTTACCTATTTAACCAACTAGTGATCTGACTGAATCACTCTGTCCTGTGGGTGCCACACCTTCCCAGCTTGTGAGGACAGCCAGGTAAACTGAGCTGGCAGCAGCCTCTCTCAGTCACCAAGTGGCAAGCCCTGCTCCAGCCAGTGAAGGAAAATGAAGGGCTTTGGCTTGGACAGACAAAGCTAAATTCATTCAGTGCTAGGAATTCAACATACCCTGTTTGGTGAAGAATAATGTTAACTGTTTGATAAGAAGCCTAAGAACACCATTAAATAAGATGAGCATAACTCCTATGGGGACCCTCTTTCACAAATCGGTAAGGAGAACAGGTAAGAGAGCTGGGCTCACAAGACACCACGAACCTGAACTTACTTCCATATTGAAGATCTTCTGAATATATTTGAAATGTCTTTCCGAACCAGAGCTGTAAATTGCTGATCCAAATGTCTGAAAATATAACATCACCATATAAGCAGATGGAAGAAGAGCACTGTTATTCTGAATGTCACAATTGATGATGCACTTGAACGTCCAGCCCGTGTGGTTCCTCACACCATGCCATCTCATGGAGAAGGAAGACAAAGCTCCCAGAGGCTAACCCACAGTGCTAGCATCCTAGGCCCTGGGGCACCCTGGCACTCAGCTTCCCTGAGGCCTTCAGTTCATAGATTGGTAAGACCCGAGTCCTGGGCCATGCGGTTTACCTAGGTTGCACATAATCATCTCGGACTTAAGATGCCTAAAAGAAATCCTGAAGTTCTGAGAGCAGCACGGAGACAGGAAAGGAGGGCTGGGGGATAGGGTGGGTGAGTAGCTGAGGACGGAATGTGGGAGCTCACCATTCCATCCAACAGCACATGCATGGATAAGGGCCACCTGCCTTCCCCAAGTTCACCTCCGAAAGCACAGGTTTCTCCCTCTGACCTACTTTCCCTTTCTCATTTGAGTTTCTTCTTTCGTTTTTTGTATAAAGCAAAAAAAAAAAAGCCAAAAGAAAATGTCCCAAAGCTGCTCTTCTTGTGGGACTTTATGTTTTGCCACACTGTGTTTTATTTGAGGACGTACAAATGCAAATTTGCACATACAGCTGAAAGAACTGGACTTCTTTCTAAACCTTGCGTGCTGCATTTATTTATTTTACATAAACAAGTCTTTGAAGTTTTACGCTCTTGGGCTCCTGCTCAGCCCTGGGACAGAGCCATCTCAACAGCGAGCAGTGAAGCGTGAAGGCATACATCCTCCACTTCGCTGTGCCGTATACTCACCAACATGTGCAGGAAGTATTTGGCAGCCAGGGACCAGTCATACATTCCCAGGCAGTCAATCAGCACTGACACTTTCAGGGGGCTCTTGAGCATTTCTTCTGCGGTGAGGAAATCATACTCAAAGATCCGCTTGCATCGAAGGAAGTTCAGCTCACGGTACTTCTCCATGGACAGGTCGGCTCCATGGGAACGGGCAAAGAGAGGGTCATTCTCCAAAGCTGTGAAGACGGCTTTCTGAAAACACAGGAGACAGGAGTGCAGATGCGGAGGCAGAGAACAGAATTTCCTATGTTCTTCCATATACAGTTGTTCTCAGCCACTGGGCTCCACGGGACATACCATCTGACCGAGTAACACCCAGACAGAGATGAGCATCACCCCAACTGAAAGAGCAGGGGCGTGAGGCTTAGGAAGCTCAAACAGTCATGTCTTTCCCTGTACTCCTCATTGATCCCTGAGGCCCTTCCTGGGGGCGCAAACAGGACAAAGCCCATGCTGGCCCACGATGGGCCTACTCCTACAAAGATGAGCTATAAGCTCCATCTCTGCCAGTGAACTAGGACACTGCCCGGACTTCACTGGGGACCAGTAAGACAAACGCTGCACACTCCTCCCTCCATCTCACCTTGAAGCGGAGCACATCCTCGCCCTCCAGGAACAGCAGCAGCTCCTTCCAGCTGAAGGACGCTCTTACGCGGTAGGCCTGGAGGGGCCCTCTGGGGAAGTCTGGCAGCAGAACGTCATCGCTGCCTCCCAAAGTGGGTGCCATCATTTGACATCAACCTACACAAAATATACAACCTGAATCAGTGTGTTTTGTTCTATCAATTCATGCCACCCACAAACAACTGCATAACCCACAAGGTGCTACAAATAAGAGAAAAATGAACTCTAACTCCAAAGCGACAGCAAGAGAGTCACAACATGAATAGCCAGTAGCCACTTTCCCCAAAGAGGAGGCAGATGAACTCTCCTTGTTTTCACCCTGAACAAAAGACGACAAGGAGACTGAAGAGAGGCCAGAAAAGTCCTGCGGCCAGACCTGTGATGTGCCAAGGTAAACAGGCGGTGGCAAAACCAGGGCCACTGGGGGAAGAATCCCGAGGTTTTGTTTCCTGTTGCCACAGCCTTGCCTGAGAACAGCTCAGCCTCTTGGGTCACCCAGGCCACCCAGACCCAGCCCTCAAGGCTCATGAACCTTGGGGACAGGGAACTTCCCTCTAACGTTCAGCCAGGGCTGGCCGTCCACTCTGGCCACACACAACAGTATCTAATGTCCCTGTCCATCCAGACACAGAAATCCACAACAGAGCCTTCAGTCACGGGCTTTTGTCCTGGTCTCTACTCGAAATACAGACATCTGGATTCCCACTAACAAAGCAGGCTTCCTCCAACCCAGCACTCACAATCAAGGAATTGTTCTGGAATTTTCTGAATAGACTGGGTTCTTTGCTACAGTGCCTTGGCTACTCAATGCACTGGACAGGAGTGGCTTGTGAATGCAGACCTAGAGGAACACAGGAAAGCTGAGACCCAGGTGTGGAACACCTCCCCCTCCTACCCACTTAACTCTTTAAGGCCCAGGGCAACTTTTAAATCCTTTTAGCCAAATGTTGAAATAGCCCAGGCTGTTGGACTCAGTGTGATTGGTCAACACTGCTGGTATCGTGTTTCCACAGGAAAGGGGAGGATGGGAAGAGGTGTGTCAGAGCACCTTTTCAGGTACCAGGGACCCTGCCCTCTACAGACCTCCCAATAATTGAGAGCCAAAAACCACTGTCCCTACTGAAAGATGGAAAGATTAAAGTTTGGCGAGGCTAACTGTCTTGGAAACCCCCTCAGCAGAGAAGCTGGGAGAAGGGATTTGAACCCAGCAATGTCTGACCCCAAAGTCATGTTCTTCAAGTGCTACCTTTAAACACTGGAAAAAGAAGCCCAAACCAAACCTAACGCAAACAGAAGGAAGAAAACAATAAAATATAAGAGCAAAAATTAATGAAATGGAAAAGACAATAAAGAAAAAATCAACAAAAATAAAAACTGGTTCTCTGAAAAGACTAATATTGACAAACTTTTAGCTAGACCAACCAAGTAAAAAAGAGAAAAAACAAAAAATTCCTAATCAGGAATCAAAGAGGGGATATTACTACTAACTTTAAAAAATGAAAAGGATTATAAGGGAGTGTTATGAACCATGTTATGCCAACAAATTAGATAATTAGGTGAAAAGAACAAATTCCTAGAAAGATACAATCTATCAAAACTGATTCATGGGCAACAGAAAATCTGAAAAAATCAATAATAATTAAAGAGATTGAACTAGTATCAAGAAACTACCCACAAAGAAAAACCAGAGGGTTTTAATTGTGTATCATGCCAAACATTTAAAGAAGAATACCAATTATTCACAAACTCTTCCAAAAAGCAGGAGAGAACAATTCCCAACGCATTCTGTTGGCCAGAATTACCTTGATACCAAAACCATAGAAGTCACAAAATAAGAAAACTACAGACTGACATCTCTTGTGATATAGATGCAAAAATCTTCAACCAAATTTTGCAAACCAAATCTGGAAACATTTAAAAAAAGATTATATATCATGACCAAGTGGGTTTTATCCTGGGAATGCATGGTGGTTCAACATTTGACAATTAACGTAACATATTACACCAACAGAAAAAAAGACAAAAAAAAAAAACAAAACAACAACCCCAAAAAACCATGATCATGTCAACAGATGCAGAAAAAACATAGGACAAAATCCAACACCCTTTCATGATTAAAAGCTCTTAATAAACTAGGAAAAGAAGATATTTTAGTCTGTTTTGTGTTGCTATGACAGAAATACATGAAACTGGGTAATTTATAAGGAAAAGAGGTTTATTTCACTTTCGATTCTGGGACAGCTGCATGTGGCACAGGCCTCAGGCTGCTTCTATTCATGGCAAAAGGCAGGGAAGGCAGCCAGCGGGTACAAGCAGATCACACAGCAAGAGGAAGCACGACAGAGAGAGAGAAGGCACCAGGGTCTTTTTAAACAACCAGCTCTTACGGAAACTAATAGGGCGAGAACTCACTCATTAATCTCCACTCCCCCAGGGAGAGCACTAATCCATTCATGAAGGATCTGCCCCCATGACTCAATCAGTTTCCAACACTGCCACACTGGGGATCAAATTTCCACATGAGTTTTGGAGGAGACAACACATCCAAACTCCATCAGAATGGGCCGGCCCGGTGGCGCACTGCTACAGTGTGCCGCTTGGGAGTGTGGCGGCGCTCCCGCCGAGGGTTTGGATCCCACATACAGACCGGTTCCTGCTCACTGGCTGAGCAAGGTGCGGGCGCAGCACCGAGGTTTGCAATCCCATTGCCGGTCCCGGTCCGGTACGGGCACGACACTGAGGGTTGCGATCCGTTGCCGGACACGAAAAAAGACAAAAAGGAAAAAAAAAAACAAAAACAAACTCCATCAGAAGGGAACTTCATCACCCTGATAAAGGGCATCTACAAAAACCATAGTGATCATCATATCTAAATGTAAAAGACTGAATATCTTTCCCCTTAGATCAGGAAGAAGACAAGGATGTCCACTCTACCTCTTCTATTCAACACTATGCTAGAGGTTCTAGCCAGTGCAATTAGGCAAGAAAAAGAAATAAAAGACATCCAGATTGGAAAACTATTTCTATTTGCAGATGACATGATCTTGTATACAGAAAATCCTAAAGAATCCACTGAAAAAATATTAAAACTAATAACCAGTTCACAATGTACAAGATCGATATACAAAACTCAATTGTATTTCTATATACTAGCAATGAAAAATTCAAAAATGAAATTAAGAAAACAATTCCATTTACAACATTATCAAAAATGTTCAGAAACAGGGCTTGGCTGGTTAGCACCATAAAATTCAACAAGTGTAAAACTAATACTCTGAAAACTAAAAAAAAAAAAAAAATTTTTTAAGATCTTAAGATCGAAATAAATAAAAAGACTTCTATATTCACAAATCAAAAGACTTAATATTACTGAAATAGCAACACTCTCCAACTGATCTACAGATTCAGTATAATCCCAATCACAATCCTACCTGGCTTTTTTTGCAGAAATTGAAAAACTGATTCTAAAATTCATATGAAAATGTAAGGAACCCACAATAGAAAAAATATTGAAAGAGAACAATCTGGAAGTCACACTTCCTCATTTCAAAACTCACTACAAAGTTACGGTAATCAAGACACTGTGATACTGGCATAAGGGCAGACAAATTTAGATCAATGCAATATAGTCGAGAGTACAGCAATAAACCTTCACACATATACTTCAGTTACTTTTTGACAAAGGTGCCAAGATAATGCAATGGAGAAAGAACAGTCTTTTCAACACATGGTGTTGGGGCAACTGGATATCCACATGCAAATGAACGAAGTCGAACTGCTTCCACACACATACACAAAAATTAATTCAAAATGAATCACAGACCTAAATGTAAAAGCTAATTCTATAAACTCTTAGAAAAAAAATACAGGAGTAAATCTTTATAGTCTTAGGATAAGCAAAGCCTCCTAGACAGAACACCAAAAGAACAAACAATGAAAGAAAAAGTAGACAAATTGTTTCATCAAAATTAAAACTTTTGGGCCGGCCCGGTGGCGCACTGGATAGTGCGCCGCTTGGGAAGCACGGCGGCGCTCCCGCCCGAGGGTTCGGATCCCACATACAGACCGGTTCCCGCTCACTGGCTGAGCGAGGCGCGGGCGCAGCACCGAGGGTTGCGATCCGTTGCCAGACATGACAAAAAAA